ATATATAGATATATATATAACAAAAATAAGTAAAGTAAATAAAAAACAAAAAATAAAGTTAAAAAACCATGTGGTGTAATTTTTTGCAAAATACATGGACCAAATTTGAACTTTAAATCCAAGTTTAGGACTGATTTTGCAAAAAATATATACCAGAGTTAACCATGAAACTCGTTAAATGGGTTAGAGTGATAATTCTGATAGAAAATTGTGGCCATAACAGTAATAAAAAAAATATTAGGGTTTTTTCCAAATTTAAAACATTCCACAACATTAGTCGCTATCAACTACCAACTATTTTTGTTGTACATTAATAATCTTTTGTTGGCCAAATTGAAAACCTTTTTTTTTTTTTTTTATGTTTTTACTCTCTAACATACAAACATATGACTATAAGGGCCTGTTTGGTTGGCAGGATTGGAATGGAATTCGAGGGAAAAGGATTCCAATTCCTTCGAATTCCTGCGTTTGGTTCAACTTTTAGAGAAGGAAAGGGATTCCTAAATGAGAAAACATTCCTTCAATGGAGGGAAAATACTTTCCTTCACCAACAGGATGGAATCAATTCCTTGTTAACATGGAAAGTTAAAATTTACCATTATACCCACCAAACCATTCTAATCTTCTTCTCCAAACCACATCGTCTTCTGCAATCTTCCACCAGGTCGTCGTCTTCTCCAATCTTCCGCCAGGTTAGTGAATAGATGCCGTTATCTTTCACTCTTGCTATCTCTCACTGTGGTCACGTACCAGGTTTTGAACGTTTCGTACCCAAACGGGGTACAGAGTTGATCCTAACGCCATGCGAAACGCTCTCTGGCACGACTCCTTGTCGATCCGAGCAATCAACCGGTACGATGAAGGGAGCGCGTTTCTGTAAAATTAGATTGCAGCAATTCGTCGATTGGGTCGGTGATTGCAAAAAAAAAAAATCGGCGATTGGATCCCCGATTGGGCGATTGGGCGGGAATGGTGATGTCGATTCCAAAAAGTAACGATTCAGAAAAAAAAACGCTTCGACAATTGGTTTGATTCCTCGATACCAGGTATGATTTGCTTATTAAATCAGGCCCCTGTCACCACAAACTTCATCTTCTTCAATTAGATGATTCTTGAATTCCACTGTAACATCGACTTCCATTAATACACTTGCCGATTTCTGCTTTTCTTTTCTTCTTCTCTTCTACTGTTATTCTATTAGTTATTAAGAATGGTTTTTGGCAATGACAAGGCTAGTATTCATGTATCAAATAGTGAAACAGAACCACAGGAAAAGTGTTCTTCCTGTTCTTGCTGGAAAAGTGGAAATCAATGTTTTTTTTTGCTTGCTTGTTTAGAAACAACAATATCTTTAAAAATTGATTGTGTAGTTTTAGATATACTTGCTGGAAATTACATTACACCTCCAATACGATATGATTTTGTATGAATATGATAAATTCATGTGATTAAGCAAAATAGACAAAAGGACAGTTCAATCATTTTTCATGAATTCCAATTCCATTTCCTGCAAACCAAACAGGATTTGGAAGTAATTCCAATTCCATTTCCTACCAACCAAACAGCACATGGAATTGGATTCCAATTCCTGACAGATTCATTTTCCAATTCCAATTACAATTCCTTCATCAACATTCCGCGAACCAAACAAGAAACGGTGTTTGAGCTTTACAGTTGTTTCAAATTTGGAAGTTTGGAATAGGAACAAAACATAAGCGCTTGTTTGCCGTAAATTTACATTAACAGAAATGCAATTTTTAATTTTAAGCCCAATTTTCAAATCGTGAATTGTTGCAATTTTTAAATTGGAAAAAACATGAGTTTTTGTCTTTTTTAATTACTTGATTGCGGATTGCTAGATAGTGAACTTAATCATATGTAAAATTGAGCCTCTCAATGACATGGGTCATGTGCGGTCGTCCACCTACACCCTACTCAAAGACACCATGCCTTGGAGTCTAATAGATACTTAGGGAAAATTAAATAATTTAAATAATTTAATTAGAGTTCTTTTTAACACATAATTTTGGTTAAGCCATATGATTACCCGTGCATACTGCATAATAGAAAAAGTAAAACTAAAACAAAATATAAATAATCTTGAAAGTTTCAAAGGAGTGAATAGTGGATCGGTGAGTTTTTACATCATGTTTTTCGAGTCGAAACCTGATAAAACTTTAACATTAACAAATACATCCAACAAGATATACAAAAAAAGATATCCTTACAACCATGAGTGCTTGTGCTGCATCTCGAAGAAGTGGAGAATTCTTGAAGGACCATACAAAGTCCTTATGCGTCGTAATTCTGTGTAAATCACATTCATCTTTGTCGGGGCTTTCATTGGTGAACGGGTAATGGTTCAAGTCCTTCATACAATATTTATGTTTGTTTATTCATGTATATTCTTGAGTCGTATTTTGGTCTACTCAATTAGGTTATTAGAAACTCAAAAGGAAAAAAAAGTATAGAGGTTAAGATATATTTTAGGAAAAGAAAAGAAAAATATAGTTATTTTTCTTAAGTATTTGTCAAAAAAAAAAAAAAAAACATGCAAAAAAATTTCATTTTCTCATATAGCCATCATTTTCACAATCCCTCCGATTGAAATGCAATATTCATTACAAAATGCATTTTATATGATATCCACCATAAAAACTTTAGAAACAATTGTACTGCAAAACCAAAAAAGAATTTAGTATTGCAAAATTTATTCCCCATACTACGAGTTTGTTCTTCCTAATGCGAATTTGTTTATAACTTTACAAAAATCATGATTGTGTTTGAAGAATTTTTTTTAAGATTTTTTTTTTGTTATGTAGAGATCTTTAAAGACCAATTCCACACCACAACAGAGTTTTATCATGTGAAAAAATAATCCATCGAATCTTACAAAAAGAATGATGTAAAATGAGAAAAAAAAAATGCTTTAATATGGAATCGTATGTTGGCCCATTTCACAGTGGGCCACTTAACAGTTATTTTTATAGAATAGTTACTATTTAATATTTGTCTATTTCCTGACTATGCTTGTCATTTTCTCTATAATTAACCAAAGTCGTTGCTTATATAGTATAGATTCTTTTTTGTCGCCAACCCTATTAAAAAGTCACACTAGAAATGATTTTTGTTGTGAGAAAACTACAATGGGGACTTTTCACTTATACTAAATGCTTTGGAAAAACAAAATTAGCGAACATGCAGTTTTATACTTGAAACTAATGTGCCCACCTAAGTTCTGTGTCAGAGTTTCAGACTTTCAGACAGTTGATTAGGAAGGAGGGAGTCATTCTCTTCCAACCTACTGAACCGACTGCCACATCATTTTATCTCATTTATTTTTTTTGATCTTTCCCAACCCACAACACACGGAAATCTTATCTTTCTTAACTCACTCAATTAAAAAAAATACAAAACAACTAAGGTACAAGTTTTAAAACACATGGTACAAGAGAAAATGAGAGAGAGAAAGTAGAGAGAGATGATGAAGTGGGTTGGTGAAACCAATTAAACAACCCGCTGAAGAGGGAGTAGTATCGCCGGTAACTCTACTGTTAATTAAAATTTTACCTATGATTGTTTTGTATTTTTTTTAATTGAATGGGTTGAGTGAGTTCAAAAAGATAGGGTTTCCGTGTGTTGTGGGTTGGGAAAAATGATGAAAAATAAAAGAGAAAAAATGATGTGGCAGTGGGTTCAGTGGGTTGGGAGGGAATGACTCCCTCCTCCCTTAGGGGTGAGTAAACCAAACCCGAAAACTAAAAGCCCGATAAAACCCGATGAAACTAAAACCGAAAAATTGAAACTAAACCAAAACTTTTCGTTTGTGTTCAGATTTCAAAAACCAAAATAAAATCGGTTTCAGTTTTTGGTTCAGAAACCGACCACTAAAATCGAACTGACCCAAACCCAGAAACCGACCCATAATATATAATTCTGATTATTTAATATTTAACAGATAGACATTTAAAAATAGAAAACTAAAATATAAAACCTAACCCAGTAAATAAGGATTAAAGAATGGTGTTTTAATTGTGTTTTCATATTTTGGTTGTAATAGACTGTTTTCGTTTGACTTTAATGGTGTTTTCATATTTTGGTTGTAAACTTCTAAACTTGGTAGTTTTAATATTTCTTTTCTAATATTCCATCCATTTAAAACGAATCTGATGTTCAACGAACTGTTGTGTTCGTGAACCGTTTGACGGTAAATTATTTTATGTTCGTTTATTAAATGAAAGAACATTAACACAAATTCTCGTTCGTTCAATTATGTTGTTCGTTTGCGTTTGTTTGTAGTCGTTCATTTAACTTTTTTTTTTAAATGTTCATATACGTTCAATTGTGTTTAATTACATTACTGTATATTATATGTTCGTTTATTTTCATATATGTTCAGTTATGTTTTTTTTAATCTCTCTTCATTTATGTTCGTTTAACATGTTCACAAACATAAACGAACGAAAATAAACAAGAAAACTCTTTCGTGTATTCTTTCTTTTGTTCGGCTAACTTAAACGAACGAATATGAAAAACCTTCATTCTTGGTCGTTATGTTCATTTACAACCCTATGTATTTTGATTGGTTTTATATGACCGAAACACTAGAAAGGAATCTGATTTACTTTGTTTATATTTGTTGAAAAATGGGTTAAAACCCAAAACCCACGGGTTTAAACCTACAACTCATGAACCGATGGGTTGAACATGAGAAACCGAACTCATTCAGAAAACTGAACCCAATGGGCTCTAAAAATCGAAATTAGCGAGTTGGGTTCAGTTTTGCGCCAAAACCAACCCATACTCACCCCTAAAATTTCACTTGCCACATCAGACGCCAACTTATTATAAATTTCCATGTAAGGAAACCAAACATGGTTTTTGTATGTCAGTAAACTACATACTAGTTTTTTTTGGGTAAAATACCTAATTTTGAATGATTCATGCGTTGGTGTAATGCAGAAGAGATTAGAAAGGCCGAACGAATAACGTATGATATTGTTATACCAACATAAAAACCGAGATTTAATATGACTTTGTGATAATTATTGCAATTTTGGATATTACATATAACCCTTTGGCGAGTGTTATTGTTCATCCAACTAAAAGTGTCCTAAAAATTTCTTCGCATATACCGCTTTCAAAAGGTAGAAAATGGCCTTTACCTTTGACCTCATGATACCGAATAAAAGGAATTTTTTCAGAAAGAAACCGATTCACTTTATATGGTATGATTTTATCTTCAAAACCCTGCCAAATATGAGCAGCACCATTGTTATCTGGCCATGGATTAGTTATATCCATCGGGTCAAACTCCCATTTTCCATAACCAGCCATTATATCACGATACAGAGACTCATAAACACCTTGCTGACGTGTCTTTTCCTATTATACATACGTAGCGATATAACCATCAATATATAAATAACATTACAAAGGAAATGGCAGAAAAAATTGTGATTGTTTGTTTACCTGAGTATTATCATCAGGGTTAGGTGGCAGATTCTTCAAGAACTCCAAATCTGGTTGGCAAAATATATTCATGTTTCCAGCCATGATGCTTAAAGAAGGAAACAATTTCTGATTCATCCACCATTGAAACAGCCATGGGGTATAATGTGCCACACGAAATGTCCACCTGTCTTGAACAAGAAGTAGCTCAAACACTTCTTTAGCCAAATCAGAAGGCAAACATGGCCACCAGTAATCAACAAATGGCACCACAAGTGATACTCCTGACAACCTAAAAGTAACCATGATTTTTATTTTTATTTTTATTTTTTCTATGTATGTATGAAATGGTGGAAATAAGAAGACTAATAAGATTCAAATGGTGATAGAAACTATGCCTGTGTGGAATGTATCTGAGGCAACTCCAAACAGCATATGCACCCATTGAGAGTCCAATTATGTAGAATTTGGAACCGATTTGTAACTTATCAGCTAATTCTTGAACATCAAATGCTTCACTTTTGACTGAACGCTTTGGATGCGGATCACTCTCTCCATATCCTGCTCTGTCAAATGACAGAAAGTAAATTTGTAGCTCTTCAATAAGTTCCTGTCATTATAACAGGATATATCAGAAAAAAGGGCAAATATGTTGAAGATTATGAATATGGTGTTCATGATACCTGCGAAATTGGGAGTTTCATGTCTTTGGAGCTATCAAAGCCATGAATGACAATGATCTTGTACTTGGCTTTATCTTTGGAGACACCCCACTCTCTGTAAGATAGATGTCTTCCATCATTAAGTTGGATTCGAGGTGAAGTAATAGGAGGGCCAACAGGTGATCCACAAACCCTAGGAGGTGGTGGTTTGATTCGTGTATAAATCCATCCTAGAAAACCACCCACCACTGCAATTGCTACCTTTGCAATCATTGCTAAGAAGAAGAAGAAGAAGAAGAAGAAGAAAACACAATAAGAACATGTAAGTATGGGATTGAGCTATTCCAAGAAATCTAGTTTAGCTATGTTGAACATATTTGATTTTCTGATAGAATTCTAGGTTTTACAGAGGGATGCGTGTCTATGTGGTTGGGGGTGAGGGGGTTCTGCAACTACAAACGTGTTTTGAACTTTTGATTCCACTTTCCTGTAATTTTTAGAACTTCGAATCAACAACTAATTACAGATCGGGTTGACTATGGATTTTAGGGCTTTTTAATCAAATATTTCATGAATGTAACAGCAATGATATATTTCGAAGTTCGAATTATCTTACATCTGATCGGTAAATTCAAAATCTGGATTAGGGATCAAATAATTGAATCATCTACGCACATATAAATAACATATAATTTAAAAGAAACATGAATCCAAGCATTTCGAGACAGCGATTAAAGATGTAAAGTAATGGAGCATAAGAGTATCTTACAAAACTACATGGAATTTTGAAGGAAATTTTATCAAGAAAAGTCGATTAAAATGATCAGAAAACTCACCGAAAGAAAGTCGAACAGAGATGCAGGTGAAGTGAAACTGGTACAGCTGATATTTTCATGGGGGAGAAATAGCATGTGATCATATTACAGCTGCTAACACTACTGCTTGTCTTGTTGTCTCCATAAAAAAAAAACGTGCGTGATTGAGATAGTGTTTGGGTTTTGGGAGGGTGTTAATCATGTCAAGATGGGAAACCGGGAAAAACAATACAACCAAGGTTTTTTTTTTTTTAAAAAAAAAGTTATTTTGTTCTATTTTTGAAACTTTCCTTATGATTTTTTTTTTTAATTTTTGAATTTTTTTTTATGATTTTTTAGATAAGAAGATCATAGTATTATATTATTTTTAATGAACCAAATACTATTTTTTTCTTTTTTTTTTAATTTTTTCAACTACTATCACATTTCTCAAACACTAAAATAATATTTATAAATTATTAAATTTTGTTATCGTATAAGTTAATCCAAATGTTTTTTTTAAATTTTATTTTGCTATAACATAAACTAATAATCACTTTTAACAAAAAAATAAAATAAAATCGAAACACAATCCCAAACACCTCCTAAATTGAAAACTGACACATCTTTCATCATTTCCTTTTGAGAAAAATTATAAAATTAGTCCATGTGGTTTGTTGATTTTTTTGGGTACAATAACAAACTTTTAAAATTATGGATTTCAGTCATTTTCTGATAGTTTGGTTGTGACTTAGTCCCCCAACTTTAACGTCGTTGAGTTTAGCTCGTTAAATACTTATAAAATGACAAGTTTACCCTTTATATATATATATATATATATATATATATATATATATATATATATATATATATATATATATATATATATATATATATATATAGGAACGTTCAATCGAGAACATTTCTTATTGCGAGAAAATTTGAGAACAAATTTGTGTTGGATTAGTGTCTAAGTCCATAACTATTTTGGTATGTACTTGACCCGATGGTGCATGGTCCTTTTGGGTTGCCTTCACCAAAGCAACTTGATAGGATGAATTATGAAGAGAAATGATTAATTATGATTTATTAATATGTTATGAGAATAATATATTAAAGGAGAAATCATATTGTTTAATTAATATTAGTCAATAATTAATTAAGAATTAATTTTGTGGCTAAAAGAGATTAATTAAACTTAAGGGACTGGAACTGTAATTATAAGATAATTGCATTTGGGCTATGGATCATTTTGGAATAATAGGTTAGACGAATTCTATGGGGAAACCCATTAGAAATCGTCCAAGGGATATTCTAAAAGGGTCCATGGGCTGCTTAGGGCTTAAGCAGTCAGATTAGGGTTTCCTAGTTGAAAACCCTAATAGCCTACATGTATATATAGTACCCTTAAGCCCCAAAAACGTGGCTAAGAGTTCCACTAGGGTTTCTGGACGTTTTGGGCAGCCTCCTCTCTCCTTATTCTTCATCCTCTTGCTCTTGGTGTTTGTGAGCCATTAGAGGAGTGACGCTTGTGACTCTAAGCTTTCTAAATCCATTACAAGGAGGATTTGAGATTGTTATTGCTACATAACAATCAAGGTAAGATCTAAAACCCTTTCACATGTTAATATGATTAATTGTATGCTAGATCTAGGGTTTATAGCTTTGGATATTCAATTGCATGTTCATTAGACAAACTAGATCCAAAAGCTATTAGGGTTTGCATGTACACCATAGGAATGATGTTTTGCTTAAAACCCATCAGTGGTATCAGAGCCTAGGGCTGTTTGTTAATGAATTGATGCTTAATTGTTCATTGCTTGCTTGAAAAATCGATTTTTTTGGCCCCTGACTGATGAACTCGGCGAGTTCCAATGTGGACTCGGCGAGTAGCTCCAACTCGGCGAGTCCATAGAGGAACTCGGCGAGTTCGAGCGTCAGTTAGAGCAGATTTCAGGATTTTTACCTTTTTTTGACTTAGGATAATTGCCATAATTGTTTAAAATTAATAAAATACGAATTTTATTGATTCTTTATGATTATCTTTGTCAAAATAAAAGATTTTGGTCATCTAATTAGATAATTGTTACCTTATTTGATAAATGTTAAATTATTTGAATTATTTGATCATTATCTTGCAAGAATTTGAACTAGATCTAATTAGATAACCACCAATTAATTGTTAATTGCCTTATTTGAATTATGTGATCTAGAATATTCTTGATAAAGTTTGGAAAAGTTTCAAATTAATCCCTTTAGGTTTTATAGTTTAAATTTGAACTTAAAGGTTTTGTTTTTGAAAATTTAAATAAGTTAAACCCTAATGTTTTGAAATGTTTCAAAACTTGCCCTCAAGTTTTTGGAATTTAAGAGTTGGTTAAAAGTTTAATTTAAAATGTTAAATTCTAAAACCCTAGTATTGTTTTGAAAGGTTCAAATCACACCCTTATGGTTTTATTAATTAATTAAAGTGTATAATTAAAAGAGATTTAATAAATCCATAAAGTTTTGGTTTACAATTTAATTTAAATTAAAAGTGTAATTTATAAAATTAAACCACCTAGTATTTTAAAAGTGTAAAATACACCCTATACTATATATAACATTAAAAGTCTAATATTATATATGTATAACTTAAACTGCTAGTCTTACCGTTAGTAGGCCTCATTCACGAAGCTGGTCTATAAGGGGTGTTCAAGGAAATTGCCTATAAAATGGCGATTGAATGGGTATCCACTCTTACCCACCACATTCTTGACTGGTGGAGGGTCGTTAGCCGAACGGGTAGGATAGGGCGAACCCTCTCCTCATTAAAAGTATAATGAATAAAGTAACTAAATGTTTTTACTAAATCCCCAAATCTTAGTTACTTTAGGAAAAAGTGAAATCGATGCAATTCCATGGAATTACACTTTGTACCCTTGTCGAGACAATTAGTGGAGCGTGTGTGGCTAACCGGCACACTAAGTTGGGTTTGGCATTGGTAGCGAAGGGTGAATCGATGATTGTCATAGATCGATGGAGCGTGTGTGGTTAACCGGCACGTCGATTAGGTGACTGTAACATTGAGGGCATCATGTACATTCGCATGGTTATTCACGCCTTATTTGTGATCCTCGGCATCCCAGTCACAAATGAAGGGCATAATCGAGATTAAACATGACATTGAAAAATTCAATGAATCCCAAAAGATCTAGGAATTTTCAATACATTTAAAACTTAAATTCTTTTTCGTTTTTCATGGTGGAAAATTAGTGAATCGTCATTCACTTACCTTCAAATATTCTGCGAGTTGGATTACGGCATCCCTCTTCCAATTTGTAGGATATTGTGTTGGGTCCTAGCCTTAATATCTCATTTGGGTGTTTTATTGAGGACTCAATCAACTAAACTTGAATTTTCTCCCGTCTTATAGATGTCAAAGTCTGACAACTATGGTCTTCCTAAATCCGTTGGAAAAAGTTTTCCAAATGAAGATGATGTTCCATGATTGGATTGTGGAAATAGAAATCATGCTTCTATTCCTCCACCTCCTCCAATAATTCTCCCTGGGCCCACATGTTCGAAGACTTGAAAAGTTCAAGGTCACTCAAGCCCTATTGGAAAAAGACATGAAAATGGAAAGTCTATATGTGCTCATGTCTTGGATAAAAGGTTACATATTGATAGATTGGGATTGTTAGGAAGTTGGCTGTTCAGTCACTTCCCGAATCATATGGTAAGTTCGTTAGAGAGTACTATATGATGGACCACGACATGACCCTTACTGATTTGACTCATTTGCTTATTGCTCCTAAATCAGAAATGATTTGGCGCACCGGTCAACAAATCTGTCTGGTAAATCAATATCCCAACCCTCTATGGGAAATGGTAACATTGGAAGTCCAGAAAAGTTTTCTCTATGCAAGAGAAAGGCTGAGTCTGAGATAGTCCCTTGTACCATTCCAAGAGAATCCATATGTTTCTACTGCCAAAAGAGCGGGCATTGGTTACGAAGCTGCCCTGACTACCTGAGAGATCTAAGAGATGGGAGAGTCAAGATGTATGACTTTGCATCAGGTAAAATCCACTATCCTACTCCATTAAGTTCCTTTTAGATTCTTAATACATGATTACATTTGGTGTTTTGTAGAATCGAAGAAAAGGGAAGCTTAAAAGGAAAGAAGTGAGCTAAATCTGGTAATGAAGAAATGGATTATGATCCCATGATTCAAAAAGCTACTACTTTAGAGTTAGGATAGATTGCTAAGTAATATTTACATAGTTTTCATTTGTAATCGTGTTGTAAGGACAATATTTTCCGCAATAAAATAAATTTTGATTTATCTTATTTATATTTCCTTGCGATGGATTTTATGAGAATTGGTGTTTGAATGGTTCTACTGTTAGCAATATTATGAATGGATTTGATTCTTAGTTACGTTATTTGTGGTAATGTCAGAAATTTACCAAATGAGGAAAGTTTCTCATCACCCAAGTTTCAATTGGACAGAAACTTGGAATCATGCAACTAGTATTGTGTGATGAATGAGAACCTTCGTATTTGGGAAATTGAGACTAATTCCTTGTTCACATAAGTATGTGAGTCAAGTAAAGGACTAGGAAATCTGGTACACAATGTTGTGCACTGGTCAAATCCACCACAAAGAACGATAAGTTTATTCATCATGATTTACTAAAAGTCTAGTAAACATGATTATGCTTACAAGATTAAGTGTAATTCTGAATTATTGAAAAGTTTCAATGAATAGCATAACGAATAAGAAGAATCGATGAAGGCAGAAAAGATAAAGGGTTCTCCAATCTAAGAAGAAGGGAGAGTACTTTTGTATCGTGTTTTATGATCGTCTTACAATTCATCCTCTAAGGATACCTTAGTTCACTAGTTTGGCTAAGAAGAGGAATGATGAATTGTAGAAATGGTTAAGTCGATAAGATGTATCATACTTCGTTCCAATATCAAGTCTTAGAGTTATACTCTAAGATTGTGATGTAAGTGAGATAATCTTAAGTAGAAATGTTCTTACACTTGCACATTTTTGTAAGTTGTGATGTCTTGAATAAGACAAAGACCAACTAGTAACCAAATTGTGAGTAGGTTTGTCTTGATAAAGACACACACTAACTCTTGAGTATTTGTTTGTCAATAAATGTTTCTTGACAAGAGAATCTTATATGTTAAGAGGTCAGTGGGAGTCAAAGGATCTTGAAAAGTTTCAAGAACAAATCAAGAAGAAAACCTATTAAACACTAGCACACGACTTGAGGATTGTAACCTATCGTGTTGACAAAATTTTATTTCTGTGCCAATCCAGTTGAGTGATTATGCATATGAGTTCTACGAATTCTCAATTAAATGCATAAGGGCAAACACCTTGATCAATGAAAGTACATTGACTGCATAGGTGAGCTGCTAAATAACTTGGAAGCAATGGTGGGACCCTTGATGGCAAGAAATTAAGAATGAACAAGTTCTGTCCATAAGAGGTTGAATTTGTCACGAACATTATCTTACGATTATGATTATGACAAATTTGCATGGATAGTAACACATGCACCATAAAATCTAAGTGTCATAAGGTTTCTCTCCTTCATGAAAATGATTGTGAGGAAACGCTTTCGCTAAGAGAGATTTTAAGGAGATAGCGATTATGTAAATTGCATTCTCAAATTCGATTATGATTACGGCATCCATTTTCATAGTTCGAATTGTGAGATTTGACAATTAGTTTGAACAATCGAGACTTATTGCTAAAAGTTCTGGAATTGTTTAGACACACATGCGAGCTGTCTAAAGAAGGGTGTATGAGTTTGAGATGCTTAGATAAAAGCTTATCAAAGCATATCGTATTAGAAACAATGAACTTTGGAAGTCAATAAGTATTGTTTTCTCGAAGTTTAGCTAGTTTCTGAATACGTGTCAAAGCTAGTGGGAGCATAAATGTTATGCTAGTATGGATATAATCATCATGTTAGTGGGAGCATGATTATTATTGCAAGATAGCAATATTAATTATAGAAAACAAAAAAATTTCACTTTGCAAAGTTGCATAGGTTGAAAAGTTGTTTTGCTATAATTAAGGGAGAGAATGTTATACTTTGTTTCAAATCTAAAGGCATAGTTCGATAAATTTTGATCAAATTTAGTCAAAAAGATATATGGATGTTATGTTGAAAGGATTCAACGTAAGAGAATTCTATATATGGAAATATTTGTTGCATTCTCACACTCGATTATGATTACGACATCCCTTTTCATAGTTCGAATCGTGAGAACATGGCAAATAGAAATATTATAGCAAAAGACTGGTAAAGTATCATGTCATTGTAATATTCGACCGTTCTAAAATTTTCCGAATGCCTAGGGCATTAAGAGGGAAAGAGGACTAGAATCGGATTTGACTGAATTAGTTAACCACTGTCAAGGATAATCTAAGGTTCGCCAAGGATTGATCACTTGTGAACAGTTGGAAGTATAATAATGGAAGGACCATATTGACATTATTATCATTAGATATGATTATATTAATAATGAGTTGTTATATGGGAAATATGGAAATGTTTCCAGATTGGGAGTTGGACGTTAAGAATCTATATGTCTAGATTAGAAACTTTTATGCAAGAAGGATGTTCAAAGGAATGTACTTTGAATGTGAGACTTCATGTCTATGGAATTGTCTTGTAAATAGAGCATTTTGTGATTTCATTGGCCGAGTCTTTGTGACTTTTGTGCCATGACATTACGAAAGGACTGTTGCATAAAGTGTTAGAATCTAACATGTTCTATAAGTGGCAAGAATTTGGTATTCTTACATTTGTGGTAAGGATTGGAAATTGTAAAATGAGTGTGATTGAAAATGTTGTTCAATTATATTATTTTACAGAGTAAGGACCATAAGTAAACATGGTGTGCATGTTAAGAGCATGGGACAATTGTCGTTATAATTCAAGTAAGAAGTTGATTAACCGAAACAACAAATAATGAGTAATCAATATGGTGATTAAATAAACGTGTTTTATTTATACTCAAAGTTTGGGGCCATATAAGATTAGTATTATTCTTGTGTTTCAATTTGCATGTTTTGACTTCCTAAATAATTGAGTTATTGAGAATAATCGAATTATTTGAACGTTCCACAATCGCTCATACTTTGGGAGTAGGTATGAAAGAAGATTGTCATGAATTGGTGTGTAGATTGTCTAAAGTGTATTAGACATAGCAAAAGGTTGCTACAACGTTCATGAGTGCTTACGAATATGATTTGAGCATTGGATTAAACCCACGCTCACTTGGATCGCTTCATGGATTTTATCACGAGTGATTGGTGAGACGATAATATCTTATATTCTTGAAACCGAGATGTGTGAGTTGTATCTTGTGAGTCGGTTGCGCATTGATAATATGTAAACGCACCAGTAACTTGGTGTTATAAAACGTATTGTTGTGTGTGATTCGGTGAGTGAGTACAAGCGAGCATTGAGTCAAAGTTTATCCGTTCCTTTTACCCAATGTGGGATAAAAGCGATATCTGTGGGCCCCTCGATGATTTAGTGATAACAAAGGAAAGTGCTCGGCCGGGCCAGGGCTAATTTGATTTGTTCAATTAGTCAGTCGTCGTAAATCAGAAATCGGGAAACAACACATAGACTGAGAGAATGATTTCAATCCATGTCTCACGTCTATACGATATCTAGAATGGAGGAATATATGATCCCTTATCTAAAGGACACGCTTCTGATAGGATCAGAGTT